TTTTGTTTTTGAGTCTGTTTCTGCCGAGGGGCCAGTTGCACCAACAAATCTGAATGAAACAGTTGTTGCTATCTCAACTTCATGCTTGCTCTCAGTTTAAGTGCCAGAGAATTTGAATGGGCTGACAGTACATCTCGCCTGCTCTCCTGCGCGCCAAACTCATTGCATTAACCTAAGTTTTTCAAAAACCTCTCTTGAACACTGCGGTGATGAAAACGAAGAGGAAGGAATTCCTCGGGTTTTGCAAAATTTTGATCATTTTGAGAGAAAGAGAGGTGTGCTAAGCCTTTTTAATGAATGAGATCATGCTTGTCGGCGTGAGTACTGAGAAGGACCCTGGCTTGATCCAGAATGGTTCCACACTATCTTCGACACGAGCGATTCGTCGCTTTCTTAAAAACTTTCAAAAACAAATGTTTTACACGGCCTTGTGAAGACTTGTGTGGGATCGCTCTTGAGATTGTGCAGCCTAGGATCGCTCTCAGCCTCAAGATTTAACCCACCCGTTTCGAACCTTGAACCCGTTCAGAACATTCAACGGTCAAACGCCATGTAAGGCCCGCATGGCCAGATCAGAAGCAGCCCTCGAGCAGGAGGCATCAAAGCCGAATCAAAACGAGTAGATCTCACCAGAAGAAGCTGGTGGAGCAACCATGATGGATTCTTCTGCAAATCAGTGCAACAGCCGTTCTCCTAGACATAGAGAGGCATCAACTTCAAAAAAACCATTTGGCAAGGACTTGTTGCACTTTTACCCTTTGAGAGGCTCGCTGGGCCGAAAACCCAGAAGGGCAACCCAGGCAAAGTTAGAGCAAGAGAAAAATACAAAAAAGCAAAAAATGCCAAAAAAAAGAAAAGAAAAGAAAAGAAAAATGCGAAAAAAGAAGAAAAGGGAAAGAAATCAAAAAAAAAATGAAAAGAAGCTCGCAAGGTCGAAAACCCGCATCGGGCACCTTGGCAAAAGTTAGAGCCTGAAAAAGTGAAGGTTAAAATACCCGAGTGTACCTTAACCGGAACTACGTGAGGCTTGATTCCCATGTTTGGGATACGTAGGCAACTTCATCATGAAGTCCAGCCCTCAACGCTTTCATAGCATCTCAGTCCATGTAATGGTTTCGATTTCATCCCAAAGTCCAGTTGCCAACACCCTTCAAGGTGATTGTGTTCATATATGTGTTGTGACCGTCTTCGTCATCTTTGTGTCCGAGAGTTCGACCACCGCCAATGAAGACTGTCTGCGGATTGCTGCGACACCATCCCAAACAAGGGGCAACTTTCCGTTGCCATGAGACGCCATGAGCCGCCATTCAAACTAGGGGCAACTTTTCGTTGCCTCCCGCTGTGGATGATGAAGGGGCAATTTTCCATTGCCTCGGATCCGAGGTTGCGCATCTCAAGAGTAGGTCCCATGCTCGTTGAGCAGTGGTCGTTTGCGAAAATAGTTTTTGAGAATTTTTACTGAGG